TCGCTGCCGCCGCGACAGGGTCAGCGCAATCGCGCACGGACATCGCCAGGAACTCGCTCTGCTGCAGTCCCAGCCTCCATGCGAGCCGCCAGCCGCCTGTCAGCCTCTCGCATCGCCACCCCAGCCTGCCTCCCGTCAGACGATGCGCGAGGCTCGGTTCGCCGAGAAGCACATGGGCGTCCCCCGCACTATCTACCTCGCCACGAAGGCCATCAACGGTCAGCATCCCTCACTCACCAAGTCTGTGGAGGGGCATGGCCGCGAGACCCACCGTTCCCCGCTTGTGCGTCGGGCGAGGGCGCATGGGTTGCCGTTCTGCGGGACCGATCGGAGGCCTGCCAACAAGTACCATCCGCCCTTCAATCAGAGCGGGGCGGTCGTTCCGGAGGACGTCTTCGCGAACTTTGATGAGGGGAGGGTGGGGACGATAGTGGACTTCCCAAGGAGGGACGGGCATGGGCCTGTGCCGATGGAGGTGACAGCTGTCCCACCGGTGAGTTGGCTTCTGTGCTATGGGTGTATGGAAGTGCTCACGAGGTTCCGTTGCAGGAGTCGCCGATGAAGGGTCTCAGGTCAGCCCCACTTGAGTACCCGACTGTTGAGGTCCGTGGAGTCATCCTTCGTCCTCGTGCGCGTTGGCTGATCACGTTGTTCTCGCAGATGGAGGAGACGTCCTCCAAACCAACAGTCTGCTCGGCCCCTCCTTCCCATTGGATCCCTGCGCTTCCCCAGTCACAACGCCCGCCAACAATGTCGACCTACTGCCGCAACCTCGGGCATGTATCGAATGAGATGGCGCACGCCCTCCGGAACATCCGCGCAGCCAACACCCGGGAGCAGTCCGGGCTCCCTCCGACAACGCCTATCTGTCTTCGGACCCGAGCCGGACCCATTCGGGCTCGGGCTCAGTGTCCTACACCGGTCAAGCCTCGGCGCCAGGGACGGCTGGTGTCGGTCGGAGGCCCCTACTAAGGAGCTCGGTCCCCATCGCTAGCCGAGGATGGTGGTCGACCACTCTCCTCGGCCATGGCCTCGCACCTCATCCACGCACTTACTGTCTATCTTGATGCTTCGCCGGCTGCACATCACCTCTTGGTCCTGCCTTTCTCTCTCTCAGTCCCTGAGTCTCCTTGCGTCGTCTCCCTCGTCTCCTCCAGTCTCCAGGTTCGCGTCTGCCAGCAGCTTCCCTCGCCTTCCATCTATAACAAACAAAGCCATATATACGGTTCAGTGTCTACGCTCTTCTATCGGCAGCAATTCCACATATGCCACGGATACGTTTCCTCCCAGGATTCAACTCCTGTACGTAGGATTCAACTCCTATACTCCGGACTCGTATCCCTATACCATTGAATCTGCGTCCCCATTTCCGTTTGGACTCGCTCGCAATTTCGGCCGTGATCCCATATGCCCCATGGATATACTTCCTCATACACAGGATTCTCGTCATTACACCCGGACTTGCATCCCTATACCCTCGGGTCTGCGTTGCCGCCTCCGTTTAGATGAGGGGCGGCTCGGTCCCCATCACTAGCCGAGGACGGTAGCCGTCAGTCGACGACGACTTCTCTCCTTGGTCGGGGAGGCCTGGCCCCTCATCGACGCGCATACCCCGACACCTCCGCTTGCCAGTCTGGATGCATCACTGGCTTCACATCACCTCTTGGTCCTGCCTTTTCCCTGTCTCCGGCCCTGAGTTTCTTTCCTGCGTCGTCTCCCCCAGTTCCCAGGGCCACATCCGTAACGGCCTGCCAGCCTCGACGTTCCTCGCCTTTTACTACAACAACAAAGCCATACATCTGGTTCGGTGTCTACGTTCTTCTATCGGCCGCATCCCACATACCCCACGGACACGTTGCCTCCCAGGATTCAATTCCTATACGCCGGAATCGTATTCCAATACCCCTGGATCTGCGACCACGTTTCTGTTCGGACTCGCTCGCATATGCCTATGCGGCCGCATTCCCCACATACGCCATGGATACATCTCCTCATACCCAGGATTCACTTCCTTTACGCAGGATTCATTTCCTTTACCAAGGATTCACTTCCTTTACCCAGGATTCATTTCCTTAAACACAGGATTCATTCCTTAAACTCAGGATGCACTTCCTCATACCCCGCACGTACATGTGTCCATATGTGACCCTCGGATGTGCGGTCGGACTCGTTCGCAAACTTTCGGCCCCATTTCCAAACACCCCATGCCATACATCCCATGCCAGATCCGTCTCATACCCAGGATTCACGACCTTACTACCCGGACTTGTATCCCTATACCCTGGGATCTGCGTTGCAGCTTCCGTTCAGACTCGCTCGATACACATATACCCCATCCAGCACCATATTGACGATGCTGGTGAATAGGCTTATACATATACATATTCATCCGAGTCGGTCTCGTCTCTTCGCCCTCAGTTTCATCCCTTAGCTTCGGTTTCATCTCTCGGTTTCGGTTTGATTCTACACATATACTGTACGAGTATAATCATTCGGCGACGTTCTACATATACCTAGTTGTAATCCCGTGTCTCGTGTTTCCAGTGTTCCCAGGTAGTGTACCCGACGAGACCCATGTTCTCGTTATATAGCAATAAAAGCCACGTGTTCGTGATACCCAAACATCTTTGTGCCCCATGCACCACTGGCACGCTGCTTCAGCCTACAGCCATCTTCATGACTGGGGCCGGGGCAACACAATCGGTATAGCTTGCTACTAGTTGAGACGGGCGGTTCGCAAGGGACCATTCGAAGACCCTTATCACGTCAGACAGATGCTCAAGCGAACGGTACCCATGATCCCTCTGGACCCCCACCAATGAGCTGCCAGTGAAGCTTGCGAAACCCGCCTGCATTCCTGACAACGGCGATGGAACGGAACTCCACGATGCGTCTCCGGTCGTCCGTGTAGGCAGCCACGCTTTTGTGGGACTACCGCTCCGACGTTGCATATACGAGCCCGAGCCTCTCCGCCGCTTGATGGGTTGATATGCAGGCCGCGCGGCAACGCCGAGTATCTGGGGCTGTTTGTCCGAGCCGCACGCGATCGTGTCGTGAAGGACCGTTTCCCATACTTTATGAAGCTGTAAGTTTCATCACTGTCGAGTACACGAGGCATAGTATGTAGAGACTACAACGGCGGTTATAACTATTTCCACAGACTTGTCACAAGCAGACTCGTGCTAGGAAAGACGAAGGCCCTGTGCATGACTGCTGGCCACATGGCAGCAAGCGCTTCAGCTTCGAAGTTCGGACAGCGGAATGCAGCTAGTGCAGGCTCTCCTGGACCGCGGTCCGCCACCTGTAATTCAGATAGAATGTCAATGCTTCAATATTGTTCCTCTACTATATTCTCTTACATTTCCATGTCGTCCCTTTTCACGTACACCCCGGCGCCCTCAGTGGCTCTACAGCCTGCTTGAAGATGACGCAGTTCTCTCATGCCTGATGCCCCAGAACAATAACGAGGTTATAATGATAGCCGGAAATTCGCTGACGGGAGTGTCGAATCCGTCCCTGCCAGTGGCGCAGGTAGTTAGCCGACATCCGCTATCTTGGGACATTCAAGCTTGCAAACTTGTTACTGGCACTGAAAGCAAACATAGGATCTATTTCCGGCTTTGCACCAATAGCATGTAGTAGGTCTTCTAAATCTACATCTCAAAGCGACCTCCAGACCCACCGTGGCATGAATGCGACCGCGCTCACACAACATACAATATTTAGTTAGGGGAAAGTAGCCCGTGTTCTGGAGTGCCATACTCACAGAACCATTGCAGCAATTGCGTCAAGACCTTCTCTCGAAGCTGTCTCTGTGTATCTTCCCATCAGTAGGTCCTCTTACACAGTAGAAAGATTGCTCACCACGCCTCCTATCTCGGGCAATTCAACCCCCAACGAACCTGCTTCTGTGCCATCCATAACATCCTGCTTCGGGTCCTCGGTGTTTTCCGTTTGCTGTCCTGTCGACACCTGATATTTTGCATTCTTCAAAAGCCTCCATACCGGATGGAACGCGTCGTAGAACAACCTGCCATCGACGAGGAAGTTGCGAAGGATGAAGCGGTCGCATAGCGCGGCGATGGTCAAGAGCGCCCACCTATGGGGCCCAAATTGCCACCGCGTGATGTGCAGGCGCTGCAGAATTATTTCGTCGAGGCGCAGTTTCTGCTCGTGCCAAGCGCGGGCGGCCTCCAAGAGGGGTTGCAAGACAAAGTGCCACCCCAAGGAGTTGTAGTTCGACTGAAAGCCAAAATCGACCTCTAGGCGCGAAAGCAATGGCCATCCGCCCTTGAGCGCCAGCTCTCGGAGCGCGAGAAAGAAGTGGTAGATAACCCATAGACCCTCGCTTTGAATTCGGACGATCTGCAAGTCGGGGAACGCCGCCTGAAGCAGTCTCCAAGCGGCAACGGGGGCGGCATCGTAAAACCCCTCGAAAGAGAGTGTCCGTAGCGGCGCGGTACAGAATCCGTCACACAACACGCCGATGGCCGTGCTGAGCTGCGAGGAGAGCTGGTAGCGGGTGACCCGGAAGTACAGAGGCACACGCATTGCGTCCTCTTGATTCCGGATATAGTCGGGTTTGAAAACGGCGGCCGAACAAATTTGGAAGTCCCATGAGTGATTCCTGGAGACGTACAGAGCCTTGCATTTTGAGAGAACACGGCGGAGAGGCGGCGGAAACAGCAGTGCGGCTGATTCGGCAATGTCGACATTCGGAGGTATAGAGGCGCTGATGTGGAGGACGCTCAATGCGGGCGCGTCGATCCTCTGCAGGATCGGGGCGATAAAGGTGAGCTCGCCATCAAGATGAATTGTCCGGAGTCTGGAGAGCCGATACAGAGAGGTAGGGACACCAACGGTCGAGGGGGAGGTGTCCTTCTCACTCAGCGTGAGTGACAACAGAGTGCCCAAGACCACCAGAGACTCGAGGTAGGGAGCGCCGGCCACAACTTGGAGGAAATCGTCCAAGCGCGTCCGACGGTCCTCAGACATCTCGAAGCGGACGTCGAGCTCGCGCAGTGCACTCCAGAAACTCGGTGTAGAAGGCATCTTGATGTAGGAGGGCACAACGAACCGAAGGATGCCGGGATGCAGCTTCTCCGACAGTCCGAGGTCAAACGGGGCCTCAAGCGGACCTTCGTACGGCCTTTGAAGCTTGCTAAAATCGATGTGCTCGAGTACAGGGAGGGGGACCTCGAACAGCGGTTTGAGGCAGGGCAGGTCATCGGTCTTAAAGCGTACTCGGCGCCGTCGCGACCGCGTGTACTCGGGTATATGGATGGAGCGGATGCTGCGCGCGAAGGGCAGCAGCAGAGGCATAGCCTTTTCGTTTTCTTCGCGCAAGCGGGACAGGAACAAGTCTATGGTGCAATCCACTGTGCGCGAGAGACGGTACTGCAGCGCCTCCAAGTTACAGGTGATGCTGATCCTGCGCCATAACCACGGAGTTGCGATACCGACGTTGCGCCAGTGCCGACACACCAGCATGAGTGGCACCCATCCCATCCATGTCTCTGCATTCCTGATGTGGCATGTATATGGTTCCGATTTCTCAAAGGGACCCACGAGAGAGAAGATGGTGGTTAAAAGCTCGGTGGGTAGACGGGCGATCAGAGGCGTCTGGATGGGCCCATTCAGAGGCGTTGGCGGGAACATCGGCAGCGGGTGGGACTAATGAGAGTGAACCAGATGCATGAGCGGAAGCCGGTCATCTTTCCTGCGTCGACTGCATTGACTTTGAAGACTCACCGGAGAGGACTTGGTCTCGGCATCGGGTTTGGGACGGAGCCCGTCCACTTTGTTTTTCTTCCGTGGTCGTAGGTTGTATGCCATCTGGTTTGTGAGTGTTCAGAACGGTTGTGCACGAGGAAGGTGGTGGTTCGGACTCAACCTAGATGAGGTAGATGAGGCCGGAACCAACCGCTTATATACAAGCGCCCGTTCGCTTCCCAGATTTTTAGCGTCATTCATAGTCAACAGCTAGTCTCATTCCTGACCAATCTCATGGCTATACACCGCTCTGCCGCTGTGGATGCTCCTATCCTCGTGTCGTCCCGCCAGCTGATGATAGGGTCCTTGAATCGCGTCTCTACGCATACTCTCTACGACGTTGCCGCTGGACCCGAGTACATACGACCACTCCGGGAAGAAATCCAGGCTATAACCGCGACGGATAGCTGGTCCAAGGCAGCTCTTGACAAGATGGCGAAGCTTGGTAGCCTGCTCAGAGAATCAATCCGCTGCCACGGTGTGGCCCTCAATTTGTGTTCACCTTGTCTCCCGCTGCTCCCGTCCGCTGAAGCAAAGGCGTCCTCGTCCCTTAGTGACCCTTAAGCGGATGGCCATGAAGGACATCACCTTGATCGATGGGACGTACATCTCCAAGGGCACCTTGCTCGCCGCTACCGCGCATCCGATGCACCACAACGAAGCGCGTCAATGCGGCCACGTTCGATCCCTTCCGCTTCGCAGGGATGCACGAAAACGGCGACGGCTACGGAGACGAGAGAAGCATAGATACGTCAGCACGTCAGTCGACTACACCGTCGACCCGTCATCCCCGCCTTTTCCGACATCCAAGGCACGCACTCCAACCGGGACTGCCGGTCCCCTTCCTGTCTATCCGGCGTCGTCATGGCCCAGGACGGGTTTTTGCCGCGATCAAGCTCAAATAGATGCTCGCTTTCATCGTGTTCAACTACGATATGAAGCTCGCGGACGATGGCGGCCGACCGAAGAACATCTATCATGACCAGAGCATCATCCCTGCTCGACTGGAAAGGTGCTGTTGAAGAAACGCCAGGTAGACTGGTCTTAGCTAGCACAAGTCCATTCCCTTGTACGGAGACCGCGGTGGCGAATATATATATCAATGTCGCGGTTACATCCGCGTGCTCGACTCGACGTGAGGTGCCATACTACTCTGTCACTGTACTGTCAAAGCTTGCAGTCCTTAGAGATTCCGCACTATCCGATGACAAGTCACAAGCGGACCAGGACTGGACGAGAGAGATCCTAGCCATCGAGCGCTCGTGCTCGTCAGGTTCAGTCCTGCCGCTGACACGTTCGTTGTCTCAGGAATGAAAATACCATGCCGACAGGGGACTCCAGCGTGCTGCCCCAGGTCCTTTTTCGTACGCTCAGCTGCCAGGCAGTATGTTTCTCTCCTCGGTGCGTCAAGCACGATCGGCACCGCCGCACTACGTGACAGCCATCCCGGGGCGGACACAATCGGCCCGCGCATGGCCCTATAGCCTGCGGGGAAAGCACGTCGCCCAACCCCAACACTATCCTCCTCATCGCACCAACAAGTCACCGTCATGAACACAGACCAAAAGCAGGACCATACGGCCTACCAGGAGCCGCAGGCAATCCAGGAACTAGGCGCACCTGCAGAAGGCCTCGACGCCGGGTCAGTTCGCTGAACCGCACGTAGAGCAGGTCCCCCCGCATATCGCCCGTAGGACACGGGCTACACCACAAACCAGCATCCGTACGAGAAGGTGCAGGCACATCCTGCTACGAACACCCCACTCGTCGCGCCTCCTTCGTACGGCGGCACCGCTCGCGGCCACGGCCAGGAGGCGAAGCTGTGCAAGGTGCAGCGCAAGTGGCAGGAGGAGCTGCGGGATGCGCAGATGAGCGACACGAAGGTCGCGAGCTGGAAGGGGCTCAAGAGCAAGGCGACGAAGGGCATCAGCCGAGCAATCAACCGTACGACGGCAGTATTTTGAAGTTTTTGAATAGGCTGGGCGAGGAAGAGCAGCAGGGGAAAAGACTAAGGGAGAGGTTGGTGAGGCGGCGGTCATGGACGACACCGCAGGCATCAGGAAAACGTCACGGACTTGTACAGGTACTTGGGGTACTTGGCCAAGTACCTCAAGTACCCCAAGTCCAATGGACTTGGCCAAGTCGGGTGGGTCGACTTGGCCAAGTACCAGGTACTTGGCCAAGTCCTCCAAGTCCCTGTTCAAGTTCATGCCCAAGTTCACTGTGAGATGTATTGAATAAACATGATATGCATGGAAGTAAATCAAAGGACAGCTGCTCTTGATCAAGGTCAAGTGTACAATATTTGTTAGTGGGTGCAGCGGCGGCCAAAAAAAAATGCCACCACAGAGAATTGAACCACGCAACCTAGCAATTTCAGTGTCCAACACAGCATGTTCAACCACTACACTACAGAAGCAAACAATTATAGCACAGAATAGCAGCCATATATAGCGCTC